ATCCAGTGTTACATGGATAGTCTGATGCACACTTAGCCTAGGCTCCCAGCAAACCAAATGACACACTAGATAACAATTCAGCATGTGTTGTTCCCTAAACATTAGACCTGAACTTAGATTAAGGAACTGATAAATCAAAAATCAGGCTGCACAGGAAGAAGAGAGAGCTTCCCAGGCAGTGCTTTTCCATACACTTCTCCTCCGTTGCTTTTAGGAGACAGAGCCAGTGCCAGGTGGTATGGCAACACCCCTAGTCATCTGACTATGGAGAAGATCATATAATTGACCTGGACACCATTATTCCACACACAGGCCATGCCAGCTCCAGGAGTGAGGCAGCTTGCCCATGAAGGCTGGCTCAGCCAGGGATACCAGGGCTTCTCTTCACACCTTTTGGAAGTCACTGCTATGGGGTCTATACCACATATCGTGATTATCACTTGTTCCAAGCTGCTTGGAGTTCAAGTCATGTGCAATGGCTCAGGAAAACACAGGAACAAATACATGGCTGCAGCAAGAGAAAGGGACAGGCTCATTTTAAACACTTCACCGTACTGCACACAGAAATCCTTAGTATGCGAGGGAGTCAGTCTTCTATTAGAAGGGAAAGGGACGCAGCAATGGTGCCTGCTTCCTCATTAACAACTCAGTTTTCCTACAGTAGTCATGGGTAAAGGAAAATACACAATATCTGCAATCCTGGTAGAAACAGTTTTCCACATTTTATAAAAAGATAATTGAGAGATTGAGAGGACATCCAAAACATTAATTTTTTTTTAACAGACAATGATTGCACCTGCATCCATCCTTGAATTCCCAAAGATTTAAAGCACAGCCTGAAACCTTTATGAATATGAAGCCCACTAATATCTCATGATGAGAAATTATCACATGGGCAATAACTGACTTACTCCAGGCTTTGCAGTAAATCAGTCCCAGCAATGATAAAATCCCGGGGTCTTAAACTCTGACTCCTCCTCTAGCTGATGTCTTCACTCCACGATATTTAACAGCTATTCCTGCAGAAGACCAACTGTTGGTTAGTTATTTCTACAAGAAATAACTACAACTACAACTGTGAAAAGTTTGTAAAGTCCTCAGCATTTGCTTTCTTTAAATTGAATATTCATATCTGCTGTTCTCTATTGAATCATTCAATGACTCTTAAACATAATTTTTGAATAGGGTGATTAAAAATATGTGAACAGATAAGTAGTAAGTCAAGAGAAACTCTTGCACCTAAGATTTTAACAGAACATGACAACTTTCTACCTTCAGGAAAAAATACAGATAAGTAATGGCCAGTGTCACATGGCACTTCAAAACAGCGCGAGGGAGGAAAATAAGTGAGGGAAAACACCTGTCACATTATGGAAACTAAGGACAGGTACACACACACACACACATTTTTTTTTTCCTACAGATGTGGGTGTTTTTATGAGTGGAACACATTTATTCCAAGTTCAAAACTGGAGCTTTTAGAAAGCTCACGATGACAAGTGCAACAACATTAGGAGCTGTAGAGGCAGCATTTCAAGGCACTAGCATTTATTCTACCTTCTGACGTGAACACCCACTCATTCTGACAACAGAAATCCAGAGGGAATAATTATGAGAAATTTATTTCTCTGCATTATAGATTCAGACTTTGTTATGAACCTGAGCAGTGTCAAAATGTAAAAGTACAACTGTTAAAAGGTTGCATAATTTATGAGATACTAAACACAGTTTGCAGGTGCTGCTGGTTCAGGACCCAATCCTAATCTCAAGTACACATTGTTACAAAACTCTGGAAGACAAAATCCACTGGTTTTCCCCAATGGTTCATAGTATCAGATTTCCAAGATACTCAGAGATGTTTGCTGCGTTTTTATCATAATTTGATCTTTGCAGTTAAAATGTTACAGCCAAAGTCAGGCAGTTACTGAACCATTATGAAGCTTTTAAAACCAGATATTAATCATATTTACAAAACCCTAGAGACAGCACAGAAAAAATTGTTAAAGCACAAATATGTCAAATACCATAGCGAGAAAATGATCCATGATCTTGTTCACACATTTTATTTCAACCATGCTTTTTTTTTCTGTAGGAAAAACAATGAGAATTGTTATTATAAAAAAAAATCTGGTATCAATCATCATCTGCTCCAAAGTACTATGCAATTAATTTTACTGGTCTGGTAGCCTGTCAGTTCATTATCTTCTGATCACTTGAATACATTTGGATTAGAGGTCTGGAGTCTGAATATGTGAGGCAGAAACGTGCTATTTTCAGTGGGGATAGACCTTTTTCATGGTCATAAGTGCTAGCTATTAAACAAACAAGATGTTGTCAATAACAGATTGGTATTGGAAATGCTGTAATCTATAATTTTTAAAATAATTGTTTCTCTTGAAACTGTTCAGTCTTATGAGAAGTCAGAACTACACAAGAAAATTAATTTTTCCCTACAATTCAATAAGGAGGCTAATGGCATTGAACTCCTGTTATAATTCACTATGAAAACAAGCTTCGAGGTCCTAGACAGGCTTTCTATGCTCAAACACAAGTAAATTTAGATTAATTATCTAAGGCCTAGCAGATGGCAAATTTATCAGGTGATGATTTATAACTTCAATAACAGTTCATGCAATTCTTTTCAAAGCAGTAAACCCAGCAGCTTCCCATTACAACCCTATGTTTTCACAGTATGATCTGTAACATGAACTGGCTCAGTGCTCCCCAGGCACAAGGCACCACACAAGCTCAAGCCCAGAACCTCTGCTCACCGAGGCTGGGGAGCCAAGCACTGTATTACTGATGACCCCTGCCTGTACTTTGCAAGTACCTAGGGATCAAAGCACATTCCAGAGGCTCAGGACAGTGAGGGCAAGATGTGTTATCTAAACAAATGTAATCCACACCCAGTAATTTCTCACCCACTCCTAGTCTCTTTGAGCCTCAGGAACAGAAATGTGCATCTCTTATCTCAGGCTGTCACAAGTTTACAGCCTAGGACTCCCTTGAGATATGCAGACAGGCTGTCTCCACAGCTCCTAATGCTTTCCAAGGTAGCTACTCTCCTACATCAGCCCAGGAGAAAATTAGTTTCATGGATTTTTTGTCCATTTGGCAACTATCTTCTGCCAGTCTTCCAAGGGGAGAGCAGAACTTAATGCCTTCCTTTTGCTACTGCATCCCAGGGAGGTAGGTGTGAAAGCTGGGGCTGTTTCTTCCCATTCATGTATCTGAGACTCTATATTCTTCCTTCTACATGACAGTCCTTTTCTATGCTCTATTCACCATTCAATCTTCATCTTTTCTCTGCTCTTCCTTTTGAACTGGGTCTTCTTATCTCCTGACTTCTCTTATTCTTGTCCCTCCTCTCCACCCACACACCCATGGAGTTATTACTGTATTACACCATCTCATGAGCTTCACAGTCACGCAGAATAGAAGCAACTAAAACAGGAGGAGAAAATTTCCTGCTTTCTGGATGATTACAAATTGGCTCCTCTTCATAAATCCAAGCCATGTAAGTTCTGCAACATTTAGGATTATAGCCCAGGTGGCAAACTTCTGAAATAGAGGGGAGTCCTAGAATGCTGATAATATTTGCCAATAACTGATAAGGCTTAAAAAGTGTCACACTGAAAAATTCTGCAAGGTGACAAAAAGGTCTCAAATTACAGGGAATGCAATTTCCAATACTTGCTCTATTATAAGTACCAGTAGCTGGGAAATGCCAAAAAAACCCCTCCACTTACCTACACCACAGCTTGCAAGATTTACTGAGCTGCCGAAATTCATTCATAAACACTCTGGCAAGGTGAACCGTACAGCTTAGGCTAGGCACAGTAGGTGTGACTGCTGGAGCGCAAGGACAGAGCTACCCCCAGTCCCAACAGGAATAGCAGCAGAAGCCCTGCTGTGGGGCACTGGTCCTCAGGATTATACTCCTAACACCAGTACTTTAAAAAACACTTATGTCAATAAACATCTCCAGTATAGTCAACACTGATAACAGACTAAATTTTTTTGAGCATTGTGTAACTATTTTGCACCTTTTTCAGTACTGCATCAGTAATTAGATGCCTCAGAGTATTTCTGATTTTAGAAAACAGCTCCCAAGTAGTTTATTTGCCCTATGAATATAATCCAGCTGTTTTTACAATGACTTTCAGTGTTCTAAAAGCAGTGGCATATAAATATAATCCTTATACATGATACCAGACACGCATCAAGTCTAACGTTAAAATCTCGGCAGACATTACTCTCATCTGGAGCTGTCTGTTCTGCCACATACACTGAGAAATCCCTACCATGTGTTCCCTCTCTGCATTCTCATTTAAAGGTAATATTTAATCAGATGCTAAGCCTGCAAAATGAAGACACCCACTGAAAGTAGGTCGTGATTATTATCAAAAGCAAAATCACCATTCTGGATTATTTTACTGGGAATCTCAAAATAAGAACAGATTAGAGATTCTGTTTGGTAAAACATTACTTTTTTTAAAATACCTTAAATGGAAATTTTATCTTTTATAGTGATTTCTGCTGTAGGTGGCTTAGGACACAGCCATGCAGGACACAGTATTACTGATGTGCCCTTAATCCCACACTAAACCAAAGCCTCAGTGTAACAGTTCTTTTATCTGCTTTGTGAGAAATAAACTGTCTGCTGAACTAGCACAAATGGTGTTCCTATGGAAAACTATATTGTATTCTTTTTGACAGAACTGTTTTTAGAGAGAGTGCACTGCTTGATCTATCACAGGAATAAACACTGCTTACATAGTGTAGTTTTTTACTAATAAAGAAGGAGCTACTATATATTACATCTATTACATTTTTGCTACCATTATTTTTAGTTTTGGAATGAAAACATTAAAATTTCTATTCCTGGATATAATTATTAGCTTAATATTCTCAGAGGGAAGTAATTTACATAATCCTAGATCCAAACATCTATTTCTAGTCTCATTAACAGAATATAAATGACACCTTGCACAAAACGATGCTGCAAAATTACAACTGCGTTTATTACAGCCAATGCATTTCCAAAGCAACTGGTGATAAATTCAGACATTACTCTCTTGATTTGTTCAGTCTTAAGAGCAATAATGTGATAAATACAATAGTAAATAGAGCAAGTATTTAATATTTGTGTTTACTAGTGACAAAACCACACTGTTTCTTAGATTTCAAGATCAAGATGTAAACAGAATTTTGCAACAGAATATTGAAATAGTTTCTCTCTTAGCATGAGATTTAAAAGAACCTCACTAAAAAAAATATGCAAGGGGATGGATTAACCTAAACAAGCACAGAAACAATTCAGAAATCAAAACAGGAGTCTCTACCACTAATAGCAGATTTGTCACATAACAAAAAGCAAATTTAGAACAGATGAATGGAATTCTAGTGAAGAATTTAATCTTCCTTAATCTTCTCACATGGTGTGATTAATGCCCTACCTTTGGGCTCTGGAAGATGATTTATAAAGATAACAACAGAAACCATATACATTTTTCTGCATGTAAAATATACAGAAAAATATAAAATATGCCACTATACAGTTATGCTCCTAAACAAAATGTTGCAGTCCCCTATTCCCTCTTACAAATGTGATACAGCAGTGTGAGATTTGTGACACAAAAGAATAGTCTTTGTTGTGCCTGGTTCCTATTAACGATGCTCTCTGTATAGCTGCCAAAAACGCTAAAGGTCAGCAATCAGCTAAGCATGGATGAAAATGTAAGGCTATACTTAGGTTGCATAACTTTCACTACAGAAACTAAGCAATGCCTATTTGGTAAACAGGGAGATGGTGTTCCAGAGATCAGTGAGAAGGACCAGGGAAGGTGTAGAGCAGGGAGCCAGCTGGGCCAGTGGCAGGGACGGCGGCTGGAGGAGAGCTAGGGAATGGAAGCTGTCTCGGTGTGATCCCAGCACCTGTAAAAGTCTGTTCAGACTCGACCCCCACACAAATCAACAAATAAAAACAGCGTGTCCTTGCCATGTAAACAGATCATTCCCATTCTCAAGAGTTGCATGCAGCACGCAGTTTCAATCTAGTCTTATCGTACATTACTATACATGCATCTTAAAAACTGGTTTTGTTTTTTAATTAAAAAAAAAAAGAAACTACCTGCCTGTATATGTGAATCTGCTACCTGACAAATAGGATTACTTTGCTTAAAACGCACCTATACTCCTTGTGGTTGGGGTGAGCGCCTTCAAAATAGTCTGCTGAATTTCACATGGGGCAGAATGTAAGTTTGCCAAGGGCTGCAGAAAGGAGGGTTAAAACATCAAGATTTTTTTAAAAAACATTCTTTTAATCTTTGTCTATTAAAACCAGTATGCCTGTACTTTACATCATATTTTGAGTTTGGATCTCAGTCAAAACATGTTCTGACTTTCACTTTGCATGGAGGACAACCCATATTTAGAAATATAATAGAATAACAGCACAAAACAGAAATAATCTCTGGGAAACAGTGCATGAAGAAAAACCCATAGGCTGCTACAACCTCAGTGCATGCCCAAACACACCACTCCCTGTGGTGTGTAAACTGAGTCAACACATTCTCCCAAGTTGTCCCAGGCCGTCCTCAGCTGGTTAGCCCTTTTTTTCCTTTTCTTCTAAAAGAAGTATCACATTAGATCTCTAGACCTAAAAAGATATGTTTTAGTCTCTAGCACTCAATTTTGAGACACATCCATTTGACAAGAAGACATAAGGAAACAACACATAATCAAAACCATTCTTTATTAATGATTTCAAAAGTCATCTTCTGAATCATGGTCCTCAATTTTTTGCACCGGCCGCTTGATACCAATTATTAAGTCAATGGAGAGAAGCTCTGTAACACAATGAAGAACTGAAACGACTAACTGGTATTTGCAATACACTGACTCTAAGCCTTCCTCGTTCCCTGGCAGTGGTTGATTTCTTCGGAGTGAATTAACAGCTTTGAGATAAAATTTGGTAAAGCTGTCTCGTTCTGTTGTCCTGTACAAGGCCTTAGGGATACTTAGCAAAGCATCAGCAACCACATTAGATACGACAGCTACCTCTGACTGCTGACACTGTTTTGCATAGTACTGAATATAATAATGTAAAAGGATTTCAAAGTAACCTCCTGCTGGCAAAACTGATCCTGCTTCTATGAGGGAGTTGGAATGATCCTGTGCAATACCTACACAACTCTCTTCCTGTTTAAATGGAACTATATTGCAACATGTTTTCTCTAGACCTTTGCCAACATCCAGGAGCTCACACGCAGTCACTGTATCAGCGCTACATGCCGCTAACACAGCAGTGCTGTAGCTCTTTTGCTTGTCCACCAGTGAACTGTTTTTATCAGGGTCTAAAATTTTTGTCTCTGTTTCATCACTAAGTGCTTTCAGCTGACATTCAAAAACCTGGTTACTATTACAAGAAACATTTTCTACTACAATTTGTTTCTGAGTAGGTGAAGAATCCCAACTGCAAACATCTGAGGCTTTGTTCTGGCTTTCACCTTCCGCTTTGCATTCCCCCCTCTGATCAACTGTTTTAAACAGCTGCTGCAGCATAGTGAAGGCCTCTTGTAAAGCAGCAGCATGTTGCTCATTGACCCCATGGACTGGCCCACAAAGGATCAGGCAATGGGGCTGGAAGGCACACACACTGGTGAAGCCAATGTGGACACACCTCTTGGAGCCGAGCAGCAAGGGCTGGCAAAACGATGCCACCGCAGTTTCAGTGATTTCCCTGTACATGTTATCACCAAAAGGTGCATAAGGCGAGACGCCGGTGATTTCACTGATAAGAGCCATTTCTTCCGACAATAAGCACTCTACAACAGAAACACCATATAGTTGGGCATAATAGATAACTACTTCGTCTTGCTTCGTGCTCGACAGTAACAGCTTAACGCTGTTGCTCTGCAAGTGTTTCATTAAGGCTTCTGTCCTCCTTGTGATCCAACGCAGCGAAGCCTCATACTGACCCTCGGAGTCGACCACAAACTCGACGCCGGGGGCCGTCAGTGGGGGCTGCAGGGGCTCGTTGACTAGCAGGGCCCGCAGCTCCCCGTCGGCCGGACAGTAAGCAGCGAAGTCCCTGCGGAGGACGATGCCGGGCAGGATGGTGGAGCTGGCCAGGGGCAGGCCGGGCACGGCGGCGTGCAGGGCCGCGAACCGCCGCGCGAGGAGCCGCAGCGCCTCAGGGCGGGCGGCAGCGGCCGGGGCGCAGCGGCGGCACAACTCGGCGCAGAGCCGCGCCAGGCGCCGCCGCTCGCCAGGGCCCAGCCGGCCGGCCAGGTACGGCTCCAGCAGCGCCTCCGGGAGCCCGGGCGGCGCCGGCCGCCAGTGCCGCCGCAGCCCCCACGCCGCCGCCCGCTCCAGCACCTGCGCCTCGAAGGCCCGCAGCGCCCTCCGCAGCCCAGCGCCGCCGCCCGCCGCCCGCAGCCCGCCCAGCACGGCCGCCAGCAGCACCACGAAGCTCTTGGCGCCGTCCCCCGTCGCGGCGCGGTGGCTGCAGGCGCGGGCCGCCATCACCCTGCGGGCACACGGGCAGCGTTAAGGAGCCGCCGCCGCCGGCCCCGCCCGGCCCCCCCGCCGCGGTACCTGGCCGCGGGCGGCTCCAGCCTCAGCGCCTCCAGCAGCCGCCGCCCGTCCCGCGTCGGCACCGCCTCGCCCGTGGGCCGCAGCAGCAGCGCCCGCCCGCCCCGCGGCCCCAGCGCGCCGCGCACCGCCCCCGCCAGCGCTGCCGCCTCCTGCCACAGCCGCGGCAGCTCCGGCACAGGCCCGGCCATCGCCATCGCCATCGCCGCCGCCATCGCACCGCCCCTTCCGCCCGCCGCGCGTCACGGCCGCGCCTGGGCAAGGGCCGAGGGGCGACCCAGGGGGGCGAGGGGGGCGGGGAGAGCGGCAGCGGGAATCGGTCCGGCCCGGGGACCGGCGCACAGAGCCGCGAGGCTGAGCCGAGGTGCGACACATCTTTATTGGATTCCGCCGCCCTGTTACAGTTCAGATCCCTCACAGAGAGCGGTGATTCCGAATGACGGACTGCGCGGGACACGCGGGAACGGGGGGGGCGGGCGCTGTGTCCTGAGGGCTGATTTTCCCGCTTGGCAGAGCGGGGCAGGGCAGAAATGAGAAAAAGTTAAAAGAAAAGGCCCAAATAATGTCTCCGTGAAGTTCTTACTTCGTTATGGCTATTTCTGTATTACTACAAAGTAGTGCAGCTTCACTGTAAACACCCAAAATCCTCCACTTTCGGCTCACCAGCCTGAAAGGGAATAATGTAATGCTTTAAGAGTTTTTTTTTTCCCCTCCCAGAGTCTGACTAAGCAGGAAAATCAGTTCACAAACACAAAAGCCCTAACAAAAGGTCAGATGTTACATATGGCACAAATTTGACAAATCTTTACATGTCTCAGAACAGCAAGAAACCCATCAAGAAGGCACTGTTAACAATACTTGAATATCTGCTAAATTTTCTGTGATTTGAGGATACTCTTGAAATAAAAATAATTAAAACTTACAGATGTACAGAATTCTTGTTATACGTTATTTACACAAACAGTGGTAATAACCAAAAGTAACAGCCTTTAAGAAACTATAGGAAACACTGAATCCCAAGTCTGTTTCATAAACACTTGTCTAGCAAAAAAAAAATTTGCCAAAGGCACAGGAGAGCAGCAAACAACAACCAAACCAAACCAGACTCGACAACCAGGCTATATACTCTCATGTAATGTCAACTATTTAAAAGGAATCAACACGTGAAATGCAAGAAACATCATCTACTGCTGAAAATGATACTTGTTGCATTTCACACGGCATATTTACTTTTTCTTAGCTTAGGTCATCTGTACCCAACTAGGCAATCTGTACCTAAATGGCAAATTGAAGGCATAGAGTGCATTTGAAAACAAACAAACAAACCCAACAAAACCACATGGCAACAAATTCTGAAAATATTTCCTGTACAAGAGAAGAAACCCAAACAAAACAAGATTTGTAAATCAAATGTGAAGTGCTGTTTTAAACTTCAAAAACTAGTAGGAGGCCACAGCTTTCCGACATCTGCAAACTGTACAATCCAGTGTTATAACTATGAGCAGAACTCAGTCTTAAGCAGGCAGGAGAGTCAAGATCTGCTATACGTCATGGTTAAATAGGACAATGGTGATACACTAAAGAAAAGGCTCCACACATGCCTGTGACCAGCTGTACTGCAAAAATTCAGGAAGAAGTTTCTTTGTTCTATTCAAATGAGGGAACATCATATAAAACCCATCAGAATAGGAATTACTACATTTTCACTGTACTTTTCAGAATTTATCTAATTATACACTCAAGAAGTCTGCAATTTTACTTTTCAAAAAGTTTCATCACATATCCTTTACCTTTTCAGATCATCACTAAAACCACTTTTACAACAGAATTCAACTCTAAAAAATAAGTTGAAGAGGAAAACAAGCATAGGGATTTTTTCTTGCTCTGTTCAAGTGCTTTACTTATCTTGAGCCGAGCATGAATTTCAGATATGGAGAATCTGTTTAGTCTGACATTGTCCAACACCAAGCTGCCAGCCAGCTTGCTGGGTCAAATCCAGTTACTACCACACGGTCCATGTACAAATACATGCAAACTGTGTTACCTACTGCTCTTGAACAGAAGTGATTAAAAAATGAACATGAAAAGGCAGAAGGACATTTCTATTTACAAGGGAAATAGAAGCTTATAACTATCAGTCAAGAGTTTCAGCACCACAAATTTAGCAGAGTATTATTTCAGGGGATTGAAGTCATGGCCCAAATCTCACTTAGTGGATTATTCTCATGTACAGAATATGTTTAAAGGCTCGGACTGGATCTTAAGACAGGTGAAGCTTTGACATCCGAATGCAATAACAAGTGGCCAAATTCCAGGCTGAGAACGTTAAGTGAAAGCTGTAATATTCTGCTTTCTTAATGCTGTTCTATACATGGCTAACAACTTCAGTTTCCACTTAGAGACTTAGGCATTTGTAATTTTTTGTTTACCAAGGGACTTTGGTCTTGCCCACAGATGCAAGATCTGCTTAAGGTACCACATTCCAGAAAAATTATTCAAGACCAAACCATGCTAATGTGAAGCTGTAAGCAATATGCTGAAGTTGACTGCTTACACAATAAACTTTTACATAGCTAAGGCTCAAAGGGAAAAGGTTAAAAAAAAGGGGAGGTGTGTGAAGCTGTCAGCCACAGAAATATATAAGCTAGACAGATAAAAGAGTAAACAGTATTTTCACTAAATACTAGTGAGACTGATGCAGAACAGCAAGGCAGATCACCTGGTGAGTCAAGGAGGCTGCCTAAGGCAGAGGGATAACCTGGCCATGCCAAAAAGCCAAACATGCCCTTTGAACTGTTCCACTGCCCAGGATGGATTTGATTCCTGAGAGGATCCTCTGAAAATGAACTTATCTGCACTTCACATTGTGCCGCTCATCTTCCTGTTGTCTCATCTGGGTTACTGAGAGTATCTTTACAATACTACAGCCCCTTCTTGACTTGGTACGCTGGACTGGCACAAGGAACTCACCAGATAAACACTAGCTCTAAATTTTTTTGCTGAAATTTTACAAATTCTACACATGCATATATTTCTTCAAATAAAAAACATTAGGAACCCTGCTTTTGAATTGAAATTCAATCTTCACATTAATTTGTATGGCTACAGCATACTAAGTAGGTGTATTCATGTATTCTGGTAGGTAGTATATACTTGCAGTAAGGAGGGATTTCCTTCCTCAGAAATACTTAGGGTTTCCCTCTCATTTGTTTTGATATATGTGGTGCTATCCACTGCAAAATTTCTGAACTTTCCCCTTGTAAACACACGTTTTCATTTGCAAGTGAACTCATGACAGTACCCGAATCCTGTTCTACATTGTCTGCCTTTTGGGAGGTTCAGCTCAAGCTGCACACTAAACACACCTCTTCGTCTTCACATTTTGTTTCAAAAATAAGCAAGAATTCTGGCATCAGCAGTCTTACTCTGACATGGCCATACACAAATGTAAATTCAAAGCTGTAGATTTATCAAGACTTACAAACATACCAGAAATTCTTGACATTTGCAATTCATGAGAGAGACCAAGACAGTACCTTCCTGGGTGCTGTACTGTTAAAAATGTGCTCTGTACAGTAGATGCAGGAATGCTTTTATGAAGAATCTGAAGTTTTAAAACTATAAAACAGCTGGCTTACAAGCCTATAGTGATTCAGGATAAAAACCTCATACTTCCAAAACAAATCAAGGACATTATGTTGCAGATTTCCCAAAGACTTCAGCTTTTTACTTGCCAGTTCCTAACGCTCATGATTTTTTGTATTATAATGTATTTGTTTGACCTTAAGCAAAAGCTTACTTCCAAACACCCAACACCATTTACAAAAGCTGTTGGCTACTTCAAAAGTTCCTTTTTTACAAAAATGATAAGTTTATATGTAATGAAGTATGCTCATTTATCATTCTACCATAATAGGAATCACATCCTACCTACAGGGTCTGACCTCTGAGTTTTTAACTTCATCTATTCTGTGGTGAAGATTGATCAGTACAGTGTATGATGTAATATAAACACAAGGCTGATGTCGTATGACTACGAGACAGAGGCACACACCAGGAGCAAGAGTGTACTGGCACTTACACAATTCTCACTTCAACTGGGTAGACAGAAGTATGATTCTGAACCATGAATGCTGACGCAAAGTTCAGTGAGTTGTTGCTACACGGTTCTTTTAGATAATATTGCATCATTTAAAGTCCAGCTTAAAATATGGTCCCCAGTAACAGTTTGATTGTTCCAGTTTGAGAAGGCTCTTGTTCACACTTCCTATTTGAACAAGAAATTAATGACAAGCTGTAGTAGAACCAAGAGTAAAATGAAGACATAGTGCTTAAACTGCAGGAAATGGTAGTCCACGGGTGGTGAATTAGAAGAGACTCTATTTCGTAGAGCCATAATGTCCCTGTAAGATAGAAAACAATATCCTGTAAATTACAAACTAGACAATTTGGCATTTTCTACTATGTTAAGGCTCCCTACAGAAGGGAGCTTTTGAGGAAAACTACGAAATATCAATAAGCAATCAATATTTGTGAAGAATAATAAAGACAGCAAGATTCTAAAGCAGGAAATGGGAAAAAGAGCTATGGAATTACTATTCTCTAAACAATTTTAAAGCATTCTGATTAATACTACCTCTTAATGTCTTCTTGTGTTTCCTTTATAGATTCAATGGCACTCTGCAGTTCACCAAGGTCTGCCCCTTTTTTCCTTATTCTTGTATTATGCTTCAGAAGTTGTGCTTGAAGGATACAAAAGCCAGATGTATTTGAAGTGACTTCAGCCACAAAAGGAATAAAGTACAAATGACTAACTAACCCAGTTGCAAAAATGAGGAGAAAGTTTTCTAACTATTTTCTACTGAAAACTTTATTTTTCAATAAAGGAAGGACAGCAGAAGGACAGCAATTTAGGTGCTTGAAATATCTTAAATTCACGATGTTGTTTAATTTTTGCAAGCATTATCAACAACAAAAATCTGCCCCCTAGTCACATACTAATCTACAAATTAAAACAATTCATCTTGTTTTAAGAAAGAAAAGAGTTTACAAACCCATTCTTTTTCCCCAGGTATTAAATATGTGCAGCATTTAAGCCTGCCTACACTGCATTTAAAAGGAAAGTTTGCAATTAAAACCATGAGCTGTTCTGCTCCTTTTGTTTTCCAGAACGTGCTTCACATTGTATCCAATGTGATATAAAGCATAATACAGTCATTGAGATAAGAAGAGTATGTGTGACTCTGAACTCTTTAGCTGTCAAATAAATTTATTATTTCTGTATGCAAATGTA